CTACTCAAAAGGGGAGGAGAGAGGAGAAGAGATTTATTACAAAACATTTTTTTTTTTTGAATTTTCTGCCCAAAAATAAAAGAAAAACCGTTTCTTGAATTTTACGAAAAAACCGTTTCTTGAATTTTATAGAAAAACCCATTTCTTGACACGTCGAGCGGACACAGCAGCGAGCAAGGAAAAACGACGCCTTTCTCGACGCGTCGAGCCCTTGTCTCGACGCATCGAGATTTTCCAGAACACCTCGGAAAATTGAAGGCTTGGTTTCAACGCGTCGAGCGGTTGAAGGCCCAGATTGCGTTTTCAGCTCGTTTTCGCGCGGATCTTTCCTATTCACTCCGGGATTGGTTCTAGCTATAAAATCCCACATTCCTCAACCCTAAAGGACATTCAGAGATCTTTGGAGACAAGAAAGAGAAGAAATCAAGAGCCACAAGTTGTCTTGGGAAGCAAGAAGAAAGCTAAGGAGATTTGAAAAAATCGTTTGGTTTATTCTTGTACTCTCTTTGATAACTTGTAATTCCTTTAATATATTTGCTATGTATAATTTAGCCATGCTTGGCTAAATTCCGTTAGAGATTTTTGGGTAAAAGTGTTTATCAACCTATGTGTCTGTGCTCTCAGATTCTTTAATATATTATTATTTGGGTTTTAAACTTGTGTTGCTATTGTGTTTATTAATGGTGTTACTAGTAGTTCAGGGCCCTAATTACTTGTTTCATTGCTTTGTTAATGTCATAACGGGAGTTAGGCATAATTGAGAGTACACACAATTGCACTTAACTGTTGCACCTTGAGAGATAGCATATATGTTAGGGAGTTTAATTCTTGATTATTGCGCATCGGGAGATGGTAGTAGCTAGGAGTTAATTCTGAATGTTTTATCTGTTATTGTTGGGTTTTTATATCATGGGAGTGAATAATCACTAGTGTTAGAGATTACGGGAGTAACTCTATACCATCTTTGCATTCTCACACTAGTTTAAACCCAGATTTAATATTGCACTCAAGTTAGGCACTAGGGGATTAAACACTTGAATCCCATTAAATCTCATCTTCTCTCTATTGTTTATAAAACCCTGATATTTTACTTTTCTTTATTTATTTAATGCAACCATCCAAGATAATCATTCGGATTAGCTCCATAAGAATAAATTAGTAGCTAGTGCTTAATACAACCACTCCCATGTGGATCAATTACCCGATACTCCGTGTATTATTTGTTTGAAAATATACTGCAACCACATCACGACGCCGCACCACGCCATTTCTTCGTACAACACCCACCGCCGCCCACTACCGCCGCACCAACACCATTTTGTTCTTCTTCTCCACCATCCGCCACTTCTAGTCCACTGTCCGCCACCACAACTGTCGTCCCACCGCCATTGTCGTGCACCTTTGTCGCGTCACATTCCTCCAGTTCCTCCACGTAGAGCCAAAAAGTGGAAGAGAGCAAGAATGGATAGGTCAGGAAATTTTCGCACAGAAGCAACTAGATTGGTCACGGGAAATTTTTTAAGTAAATATGTTATAATTTTCTACATTAATAGTTATGTTGAATAAAATGTACAAAATATAATAGTAATTATTACTGAATATTTTTATATATGTAAGGATGTTCTCGAGTTGCAAGATTCTCAAGGAGAATTCGTTGAGTCTTGAAGACAAGATTCATTGTTTGTTGTGCTAGGTACTGATAAGCATCCAGGGCGTGTTAGAACCATGGGGAGAGGATATGGCATAAAATGTCGCCAAACGCCTACAGAAGATGTCCAACGATTAGTTGATGCTGCTGTTTCTGTGGCGTTTGAAAAACAAAGTCAGCAATTGATGCTGCTGTTTCTGTGGCGTTTGAAAAACAAAGTCAGCAATTGATGCTGCAATTAAGTCAGGAATTTGAAGGGCAAATTGTTGAGATGATGTAGCGATTTGGTTTTATGCAAACTCTTATTCACCAATATGCACAATCAAAGCCGGGGGATGACATATGTGTGGATGATGAGCCACATACTCTGTTTGACAGAGCTCATTTAAGAGTTTATAGCTTATTTTAAGCTACTAATAAGCTATAAATTATGTTTGGTAATGTTCCCAAAATAAGCGAATAGCTTAAAATAAGAGCTTATTTTGAAAAGCTACCTTAGGTAGCATTTCAAAAATAAGCTAGTAGCTTCCTAACTTTTTTTCATCTTTATCCTTATTATTTTAATAAATGACATTCTTTACCTACACCAATTAAAAACCTTTTGGCCTTTTCTATTCTCCTATAATTTTATTCATCCTCTTCCGCAACTCTTCATCGCCTAGCAACTCCTTAAAGTTCTAACTCCAACGTCCGTTCATAAATAAATGACATCATTTGCCATTCCCAATTAAAAACTTTTTTCTTTTGTCCTCAATTATATGAAACTTTTTGATTTGATTCAATTGGTCTCTTGCCATGTGATAACATTAAAGAGATAATGGAAGCGTATGTAAATTTATAACACTACAAAAAAAATGCACAATTGAGTGTTACACACATAGACAACAGTTGTTAAAACTAGTGTTGTTGAAAGTCACGCACATAAACAACAATTCTTAACCGTTGTCTTTTCTAGAAAAGACAACGGTTAAAAAGCATTGTCTATTGTGTGTTGTTGAAAGTCACGCCCATAGACAACGATTTTAAACGGACCGTTGTCTTTTTTAGAAAAGACAACAGTTAAAAATCATTGTCTATTGAGTGTTGTTGAAACCGGTGTTGCTGAAAGTCACGGGCATAGACAACGATTTTTAACAATTGTCTTTTCTATATAAGACAACGGTTTTTAACCGTTGTCTATTGTGTGTTGTTAAAACAAGTGTTGTTGGAAGTCACACCGATAGACAACGGTTAAAAATTGCTGTCTATTAATTGTTGTTGAAACCTGTTTTGTTGAATATTACAAGCATAGACAGCTGTTTTTAACCATTGTCTTATATATCAAAGAAAACGGTTAAAACCATTATTCTCACATTCATAGACGACGATTTTAAACCGTTGTTTTTTTAACTTGTTTTGATTTTAAGCATAATATAATAAAAACAATTTATCCAAAAACCATAAATACCAAAACATCAATTCATTAGTACAATTATCTTCAAGTATGTAAAATATTTCAAAATACACAAGAATTCATCATCTACTTCAAATACAATGAACAATTCCAATCACCAAATCTAAATGTTCACAAAGTTCTAATCAAAAGCATACCTACTCTATATAACTTGATACACAATTTGTCCATTCGAAACACACTAGATCAATATCTGTTTTGTCATAGACGTACAACTTGTTGAAACTACATGTCGAAAATATATGAATGGTAAATATATAAGTACTCAGCATAACCACAATATGATTATTTTATAAAATTAATTGAAATAATTAAAACATGATGATAAAACATGATATGATGATAAAAAATCTTACGTGTGCTTGAACAGAAACCACATTGGTTACTTCCGGTTGACGAAGAGTCTATACATGTTAAATAATATTTGTGCATTAACAATTTATTTAGATATATGGATATACAAACACTTATATATACTTAGTTAAAAATCTTAAATTAACAATTTAAAGGTCCATGTGTTTATTAGTGGCAAATTTTACTTTAGACTATATGCATCCAAACATATAAACTTTATACATATAAATAATCAACCTAGATTTACTGAATGTCAAATTTCTAAGTAAAGGAATGGATGTGTCGAATATAAGTCCAGTGAATATAATGCACCACACAGAAGCATTCACACATTATCATATGGCAGCAAACTTCTATAATTTAAATGTATCTATCAAGAATGAGAAAACAGAACTCAATAAATATAACCACCACAATTGCATATATTTTTCCAAGATAAAATGTTTAACAGACCAGAAGACAATCTGGTGACTAACTATTCACATAATTTTAAAGAGAAAATTCAGAGATAAAGAAGCAATATTGTTTCTCCTCAAAATTCAGAGTTTGGGTTGGAAACGGTCTGTAATACACCTAAAAAATGGTGGCATGGAGATAAAGTACACATTAAGATATAATAACAAAAAAAAAAAAAAAAATCTTGAAAAATGGTGGCAGGAATTTGCTACCTTCATCTTGTAGCCCTAACTGAAAATCTTGATTCTGAAATTACATAGAACATAGTAAAACAATTGCACAATCAACAAACAACCCACATTCATTACAATTGTCATCAATGTAATATTCTTTATGATTTTTAGAAACAGGGAACATTCTATTTAGTTGTGGATGAGTGGAGGACTTGTCGTGTGTTCTGACTTCTGAGCAGATGAGATCGTGAGAGGGAAGTAGAGCGGGAAGACCAAATTTTTGCTAAGTGTTGTTCACTAAGGGCTCGCTTGGTTTGCGGAAAATATTTTAAAGAAAATTAAATTAAAATTTTATGGAAAAGTAATTACTAAGAAGATGAATTTCATTGTTTGGTTAGTGGAAAAAAATTACTGGTATTACTAATTCTATTGTTCGATTAGATTTGGAATTGTAAGGAATAAGGAGTATAAAGACCTATATGTCCCTAAATATTAATAAGAGTTATATAATTAAAAAAGAAAACAAGGGTAATATTGTCAAACCATATCATTTTTTCTTCTCATCTTCTATGAAAAACAAAATCATGGTCCAAACAAGGATTTTGTTTTCCTCAAATTTGAAGAATTCATTTTCCAATGAAAAATGAATTTCATGAACCAAATACCTAAAAATAACATTTTTTTCTCCACTTTGAAAATATTTTTCATAAAAAACTTTTCCATCCAACCAAACATCCCGTAAATTTTTGTCTAAAAGAGGGAATTATTAGGAATAAGGGGTTAGTGAGGGATTAGTGACACTTGGCACAATCCTAATCACTTAACTTCTAGTAGGTTATTCTGTTAATTGGCTACTGTGTAACTGTTCTTAGTTAATTAGAAGCAGTTGAAGCTCTCTGTCTCAATCTCCCAAAATGTATAAACTCTCTCTTTTCATCCAGTTGAATATACAGAATAATTCTTCTTCTTCTTCAATTCTTCAAATCCTTCTACTTCGCAACATGGTATCAGAGCTCAGAGAATAAGGAGTCTCTTCTACCAATCTACAATGGCGACTGCGTGGCTGACGATTGGAAATCGCGCAGCTCCGATTGATAGCAACACCACAGCTCCGGCAGGAACTCCGGCGAATGGAAACACCACACCGGCAAACTCTCCCAGTACACCGTCAGGATTGAACGCTTCTGAGGTAACATTCAATCCTCAGAGCTATTCCAACCCATACTACCTGCACATAAATGAGAGCCCAGCCCTAGAATTGGTTTCCTGCCCTCAGTTGGGTAGTTCATGTTTTGAGAGCCAATTACATCAGACAGGAGAGAACAACTCAACTCCTAGTGCCTTCTTGACTAGAACAGAAGGGGGTTCTCAGACAGGCTACAAAAGGGCAATGATGAATAACAAGAGGCCTGTGTGCACTCACTGTGGGTACACAGGTCATACTGAAGACAAATGTTACAAGAAGCATGGTTATCCACCTGGGTGGAAACCAAAATCAAGAAATCAAGGTGCAGTAAATCAGGTTCTAGGAAGCCAACAGTTTAACAGTAATGGAAGCATGATCTTCACACAAGAGGACTTCAAGAAGTTTCTGAGCTTCATGCAGTCAAATGAACCAGCTGTTGATGGCCAAAATTCTCCTCTAGATCAACCCTCAAAAGTTCTGGTCAACACTGTATCAGCTGACTTGCAGATGGAAGGTATGCCTCTTTCAATCAATACTGCTAGATGTAGTAAAAGTAGTTGGATTGTGGACAGTGGTGCAACTCACCATATTGTGTGTGACCTTGAATTGCTGAGTAGACAAAGAAGAGTTAATAATTTGCATATTAGTCTGCCAAATGGTCAACAGGCTGTAATTACTTTTACTGGTTCAGTTCACCTATCTGATGATTTTGTCTTGCAAAATGTTCTTTATGTGCCTGGTTTCCAATACAATTTGATTTCAGTAAGCTCATTCACTAAAATGACAGATATAGTATGAGAATGAGTTCTGACCAGTGCACAATACAGGATGCTGTCCTTGGGAAAATGATTGGAAGGGCTAAGCTGAGAAATGGGTTGTACTTTCTGATGTTCCCTGAATCTACACCTTTTGTATGCAATTATGTCTCTAGCACAGAAAAGTGTACTTTGTGGCATACTAGGCTAGGCCATGCTTCTTATGCCAAGTTGCATTTGTTAAAGGGATTAGATCCCCTAATTCATGTCAATAAAAGCTTGATTTGTGATAGTTGTCATTTTGCTAAACAAACAATACTCCCTTTCCAGTCCAGTGAATCTATTTCAGCTAGATGCTTTGATCTATTGCATATTGACATATGGGGACCCTATAAAATAGCCACTATCCATAATCATCACTACTTTCTCACTATATTAGATGATCATAGTAGGGCTGTTTGGGTATACCTAATGAAGTTGAAATCAGAAGTGAGAGGCTTGATTGCAGATTTTTGTAACATAGTTGAAAATCAGTTTGGCACCACAATGAAATGCATAAGGTCAGACAATGGATTGGAGTTTAACATGACAGACTTCTTCAAAAGAAAGGGAATTGTGCACCAGACATCTTGTTCTCACACCCCACAACAGAACAGTAGAGTGGAAGGAAACATGGGCACCTACTCTCCACAGCTAGAGCCCTCAGGTTTCAAGCCAACCTACCAGAATATCTATGGGGAGAGTGTGTACTGCATGCAGCATACCTAATCAACAGGCTACCCTCTGTTGCTATCAATAATCAGATTCCCTATCAGGTGTTGGATGAAGAAAATGCCATGCTACCAACACTTAAAGGTATTTGGATGTTTAGCCTATGCAACTACAGTGGGGCCCAAATCCAAACTGCATCCTAGAGCACAAAAGTGCATCTTCCTTGGCTATGCAAGTAACACAAAGGGCTATAAGGTTTATGATGTTGTATCCAAACATCTCTTTGTTTCCAGAGATGTAATATTCTGTGAGAATGTGTTCCCCTTCCAGTCTAGTACCTCTGCAGATAGAGCTCAGATCATTCTTCCAAATCTGAGTCCCTCTTTTAATGAAGAGCCAGAAGGTCCAGAGATGTCTCACATCCAAAACCAGACCAGTTCCACTGAGCAGAACTATGATCACCTGAGTACTGTTTCTGCACAGTCACCAGCTGAGACACATGTACAAGAACATGTCAACAATGATCAGACATGGTCCCTTGACTCAAGAGAACAGATGTCTGAGCCTGAACACAATCCTGATTCCACAAAAAATCAACAGGTTGCTAGGAGATCCACAAGACAAAGACATATTCCTACTTATCTTCAGGACTATGTCTGTCAAAATGCAACTCTCAAGACTTCTCCTCATCCTATCTCTAATGTGCTGAATTATAGGAGGTTGGAACCCCCATTCCAGTCCTTCATTATGAACATTACATGTTGTTCAGAACCAAAGAACTATCAGGAAGCAGCTCAACATGAGCAGTGGAGAAGGGCTATGCAAGAAGAGATCACTGCCTTGCAGAAAAACAATACTTGGGATCTAGTCAACCTACCCCCTTCTAAGAAACCTATTGGTTGTAAGTGGGTGTACAAGATCAAGTACAAGGCTGATGGCACCATAGAGAGATACAAGGCAAGGCTAGTGGCAAAGGGTTATAATCAAGTTCTTGGCATTGACTACCTAGACACATTCAGTCCAGTGGCAAAGATGACAACTGTTAGAACCCTTCTAGCAATAGCAGCAGCAAAGGATTGGCATGTTCATCAGATGGATGTGAACAATGGTTTCCTACATGGAGATCTAGAAGAGGAAGTTTACATGCAACTACCCCTTGGCTTGACAGGAAAAAGGACTGGGTTAGTATGCAAGCTAAATAAATCTCTTTATGGCTTAAAGCAAGCTAGCAGACAGTGGAATACAAAGTTAAACATTGCCTTGCAGAATATGGGGTTCAAACAAACTTTACCTGACAACTCTCTGTTTACTAAGGGTGAGGGAAAGTCATTCATAGCCCTATTAGTGTATGTTGATGATATAGTAGTTGCAAGTGCTGACCTACAGTGCATATGTGAGGTGAAAGAGCAGCTAAACAGAAGCTTAAAATTGAAGGATTTGGGCCCTCTAAAGTACTTCCTTGGTTTAGAAGTGGCCAGACAAAGGAAAGGGATTAGTATATCTCAAAGAAAGTATGCACTAGAATTACTTGAAGATACAGGGTTCACAAATTCCAAACCAGTCTATAGCCCTACTGTGCCTTCACATAAGCTGAGTAAAATGGAGGGTGATCCTCTTCAAGATAACACTCAATACAGGAAAATTGTAGGAAAACTCCTATACTTAACCATTACCAGACCAGACATCAGCTTTGCTACTCAACAACTGTCTCAATTTCTGGAAAAGCCCACTCATATACACTTACAAGCTGCCTTTAGGGTGCTCAGATACATAAAGGCTGCACCTGGCAAAGGTCTATTCTTCCCTGCAACATCAAACTTACAATTGAAAGCTTTCTCTGATTCTGACTGGGGAGCCTGCATTGATACTAGAAAGTCAGCCACTGGTTTCTGCATTTTCCTTGGGAATGCACTGATCTCATGGAAATCAAAGAAACATGCTACAGTTTCCAAGTCATCTTCAGAAGCTGAATATAGAGCCTTAGCAGCCACAACTTGTGAGGTGCAGTGGCTGTCTTTTCTCCTAGCAGAACTTGGTGTTCAACATAAAGAAGCAGCAGCAGTGTATTGTGATAGCAAGTTTGCAATTGCTATTGCTGAAAACCTTGTGTTCCATGAAATGACCAAACATATAGAACTTGATTGCCATCTTGTTAGGGAGAAGCTGAGCAAAGGATTCATCAAGTTGTTCCATGTTACCTCTGAGAACCAGCTAGCAGATACATTCACTAAGACTCACTGTCCTAGCTCTTTCAACACCTATATCTCCAAGCTTGGATTGCTAGACATATACAATCCAGCTTGAGGGGGGATATTAGGAATAAGGGGTTAGTGAGGGATTAGTGACACTTGGCACAATCCTAATCACTTAACTTCTAGTAGGTTATTCTGTTAATTGGCTACTGTGTAACTGTTCTTAGTTAGTTAGAAGCAGTTGGAGCTCTCTGTCTCAATCTCCCAAAATGTATAAACTCTCTCTTTTCATCCAGTTGAATATACAGAATAATTCTTCTTCTTCTTCAATTCTTCAACTCCTTCTACTTCGCAACAGGAATAGAACTAAGCTTTCCTTTTTGTCTAATGAGTGTATGAGAGAGAATAAATTAAAGTAAACTAAGTTTTCTTTTTTGTTTTTTTTTTTTTCTTTCTTCCTAAAATGGAAATGTTTGAGCAAAATAAGTAAGTTTTTTTAAAAAAATATTTTTAATTTTAAATTTTGTCTAAGCAAAGTAAGAAAAAAAGATAGGGGAGTAGTATTTTTAAAGACAACACAATAATGACAACAGTTAAATAAAATTCTTGTCTTTTTAAAAATATAGGGCACAAAGACAACGGTTTTAAAAAACCACTGTCTTTGTAGTTTTGTCTTTTTACAAAGCGCATAGACAACACACTAAAGACAACGGTTCAGTAAAAATCGTTATCTTTGAAGTGTTGTATATTCAAATTCGCTTAAAAACAACACACCAACGACGATGGTTATATAAAACCATTGTCTTTTATTTTAAAAAGATGCATATAGACAACGGTTTTTAAAAACTGTTGTCTTTGTAGTATTGTTTGGGGAGGCGGGTGTTTTTTTGTTTAAGAGTGAATACTTAGCGTTTTTGTATCAGAGTGTAGAGTGTTTTTTTAAGTGTGTAAGAGAGGGAAATAAAACTCAATTATTTTGTATTATTTTTTTAAAGAATATTTTTTTTAAGTCTCTATTTTTTTACAGACTAGAAGACAATCTGGTGACTAACCATTCACATAATTTTAAAGAGAAAATTCAGAAATCGTTAGTTTAAATAAAAATAGATTCTAACATTTTAATCTTCTGTAAAATTTGCACCATCTTCAATGTCATTCTAGTATTTATCCCATAGGAACCCTATTTTCCTTTAACACACCACCTTCTACAAGAAACATTGATAAATATTAAATTGTAAGGCCTAACTTATAAAAAGTGATAGCTAGAGCAACATCTATCAAAGAAGGCTTGGTTAAACCCAAGCTTATCACCTCATATAGAAGTTCTTTAATTGCAGCATCCAAAGTGGGTAACGGATGACAATGTAAGATAGCGGTACAAATAGATTCATATTTAGGAGAAGGAGCCATAAAAACTTGAAAAAGATGAAGGTGATCTACACTTATAATATCTTGGGCCAACTGATTCCATATAGGCTTAATGGTGTCAAGAAAATCATTAACAGATTGTCCTGAGTCTTGTCTTAAGGTTATAGAGAGTAGTGAGAAGTTGATATATAATAGTGTGTAAGTCCTATTATTTTATATCAATTAAACAAAAAATCTCATTTTCCTTTTGCAGTATCAAATGTAGCAAATTGTATATTGATGGATAGATGGAATAGAGTATTAGAAGATGAGACAAGCGTTTGTTCAGTATTTCTGTAACAGAAGGATAATACAATTATATGATATACACCTATACAATAGAAGACTAGTTGAGGCCTAACTAACTATAGCCACTCAAGTCCTAATATCTCTAACATAGAAAACCTGTTAATGATTTAATGATTTTTGCTATCCCAATCTTCAAGGCGGTCAACATATTCATCATCATCTTCTGTAGCAATCTGAGTTGGTTCAACAATATCACCACTAACAATACGCCAAAGCTTACACCAATTCAAAAAACTGTTCATACATTGAGACCATCGGGTGTAATTGGTACATACCATCCAAAATCGTTCTTATAAGCTGAGAAACCTCAATTTTATCCATACCAAAAAGAAGAATAAGATTAACAACTCTGCCCAGTTCAGGAAAACTGATAATAGCAGAACAAAGTAATAAAATCAAGATGGGCTGCAGGAGTGGAAGGAGGAGAAGAAAACAGAGAAAAAAAATTAGGCTAGGGCTCTGATACCATATATGTTAGGAACAATATGAATTATATATCTTTCTTAAATATCATTAAAAAGGATGTACTCCCCTCTCTCTCTCTCTCTCTCTCTCTCTCTCTCTTAATTTTTCTATCTTAATATTTTTTTCTTTATATATATATAATAATACATATTGCAATGGATTTTCATCCAGCGAGATTAAACTTATTCATGAGAGTCAAATCACACTCCATCTCATTAACACTTCACGAGTAAACTCAATATTATATTATATTTTAATTAAAACAAACTAATTTCCTTCTAATTGAACTATACTTAAAAATGCTAGTCTTGAACAATTATCAAGTTTGGGAATGGATATGGTAGGGGGTTGATAATGTTGGCACCTAAAAGAGAATACTCCACGTAATCTTCCACCAACATTTTCCATGCTAAGTTAGTATGAGTATACTCTTTCCTCCACTATTCCCTGCTTAATCCGACAAATAAGCATAACTATACAAGGTTGGACTGAATTAAGTCACTGAACTAAAATTTGGTTGTCGGGTTGAACTTTGTCCACACTAATAAAACAGCAAATTCTAGAGAGTTAGCCACTGGACTAGCTAGAACAAAATGCAGACCTCAAAATTAACTAGATATGTTTTTTTGCGTTAAATATTTAAATTTTACACAGATAGATTTTGATGGTGAAAATGATGACCACCCTTTCAAGATTCACTCTTTGGAATTTAACTTTGCCTCCTCAGCATTATCTTTATCTCTCAACCTGTGAAACAGTAGAAAAAATCCCATGTAGTTAACAGAGGAAAAAAGTGAGGAAATTAAATTCATAGTCTGGGGACCTCAGATCAGATAGATTAACACAATGAATTAAGCGTTCGTATGTCGTTTAAGAATGGGTTTTGTGTTTACCATGAATGATCAGGATTTTCTAGAACTTTATATTAATCCGGAGTGACCTCCATCAACCACGAGCCTGGGAAAAGATCTTGCAAGAATCCAGTATGGAGAAAACTGGATTAGTTATTGGAATTGAGGTGAGAAATGGTTAAAATTACAATCTTTTGATTAAGGCTTTTAATTACATCAATCTCCTTCTGAATAGCTCTGGGCCTTTTCTTGGGTTTTCTGGGTGGTTTGACACCGGTAATGGCAGTGAAATCAGCTTCAATCTCTTCTCTGGAGAGAGCGATTGAAAACTTACTCTTCTGCGGCTGCGGCGCTAAGTTCACTACTTTTCCAGTTCCGTCGCCAGCTCGGCGACTACGCAAACTCCACGGGCCGGCAGCAGCGGGGTTTGAATCATCCTCCTCTTCAGTGGGTTTCTTATCGCCATGGAGATCAGTCATCAGCTTCTCGATATCATCATCGTCAGCCACAGGGTTAATCGGAGAAATTCGCTGCACCTGATTGCTACCGCCGTGCTCATCAGGGTGATCACTGGAAGAATTGCCGAGCTTCTTGCGACGGATGTGTTTCTGGTGACCCCATTTGAGGCACGAGGGCAATGTGAAGTTGTGAAGCGGCCTAGTTGCCGGATTAGGCTCCTCTCTTTCTCTCTCTACGTTCGCAGCCATTAGGCTCCTCTCTTTCTCTCTCCGGAGTGAATGTTTTTCCCGGATGAGCGACGACGGTTACGTTTCGAAAAACCAACGGCGGTTACGTTTCGGAAAACTAAAGACGTAATGAGTAGTTGGATAGTGTCTGTATGTGTAAGAAATTTATTAATTAAAAAACTCACTCGCTCACCCACCCATTCACTCGCTCACCTGTGAAAGCAAAACATTAGAGGAATAGAGGAAGGGGCGGCTTGTGGGCGGCTTGCGTGCGGGGGGGGGGGGGGGGGGGGGGGAGGGGGGGTGGGGATAGAAAAATCACCAGTAAATCTAGGTTCGGTAATGTGTGTCTATATATGGAGGACTGGTTCGGTGGAAGGATTGCAGGTGTTTGTAGTAGAGTAGAGACTAGAGAAGTGAGGAATGACGTGCGGGTGGGGTGGGGTTAGGGGTGGCTGTCTCTATTTTGGGTTCTTATTTGATTTATAGCCCTAAAAACAAACAGAGTGAAGGATTTTTTAATTTTTTTTGTAAATTTTTCTTTTCAAAAATATAAAAATAAAAAAGGCAGTGCGTTACTAGGCACCAAAACTGTCTAGCATGAGCGTGCAACGCACGGGCATGCTAAAGGCATTGTGTGCTGCCATGTATTTTTTAAAAATATTTTTTCTCTCTCGTCTACTCAACATTAAAAAAATAATAATAAATAAATAAATAAAACAAACCAAAACTATCTAAAAGAGGAAGGGAGGGGTGAATAAGCTCATCCACGCGTTAGCAAAGGCTTCTATTTCTCAAACTGATTCCTCTTGTTGGTTATATTTTATTCCGCATTGTATGAACAATTTTATTAATGAAAATTCTCCTTTTATCCTTAAAAAAAAAAACAAAATTAAATGCAATATTGTATCATTCTTTCTTAATGAGCATGTATCTACCAGAGATCCCACACCTAGAAGTTCCCAATTTCTTTCATCATAATTCTTGGTCAATTGACTGACCTTCTGTCAAGCTTTGTAAGTACCTCCTACTGTTTTTAAGAAAAAATTACTTATATATCACAGAAATGAATCAGACAATTAACATGTACATTATATAACAAGTTACCTGAATCTCTTTCAGCAATAACTTGTTGATACTTCAAAGTGAACTCTAAAAATTCCTTTTCAGATTTAAAGCTGCGTTTTGCATTCTTTCGTTTTGCTTCAGAGGCTTCCTAAAATACCAAATGTGCAAAATAATAATAACAAGCTTTGGTAAATAATAAAGCCTTTCTACAATACTACATAATAACATCATTACTATGTTGAAATACTAATATTAATTTCATAAAAAGAAGGAAAATGCCAAAACAATGATAAGAAATATGAAAAGTAAGGACCATCAATCAGCTAGCAGTAAAGCATTAACTAAACTAATTATAATAAGAAGCATGCATTTGATAGAAAATTACACACTACAAATTATGATCACAATTCACAAAAGTTAACAGGGATAAGCATACCTTAAAGGCTGGCTGGAAATCAGTTTGAGCCCCACCCTTCTCACCTCCAAAGTCACCAGGTGGACCTCCTCTTGGGCCACCGCGATACCCAACCCTATCACCAAACCTGCCCTCGCCATCACCAAATATCCAAAATACAAATCAAGGCACGCAGGCCATCTACCAAGACTATAACTATCTAAGCTTGGTCCTCGTGTCCATCTAGCGCATTCCGAAGCTATTGATCTGCACCTGAAAAACATGCGATGTAACAACCGTCAGTGAATAATGCTGGTAACCCACTTCCACGCGTTAAGTACAATATAGATAGATATAAGAATACCATTTTGAGACTAGAATACATATATAATCCTAAGCAACTCTAGCTTTTAAAACCAAGATCAGGACTCGAGACACAACAATAGACTGGACATTATAAAACCACACAAAGGTACTAGCATGCATCCTATCCTAAAATCACAAGACAAGATAATAACAAGGCTCAACAGTAACAGACAATGTCAACAATTGGACTCAACAACAATCAATAACAACAAGCAGTCAACAGAGAACACATCCATGATCCAACCTTATGCCAAGTTCCAACCATTACTCCTCTTCATCATTATATCAGTTCCAACATGTACCTCCAGGTCACCTTATAACGCTTACCTTATCCCTCCGGAGCACGCATGCTCCTCACCGACATACCACCAACAAAACCACCCACATGGTAGCACCACAGTACCATTCGCATGACCCGTGCCTATAGCACTATAATCAAGGGGTCAGTGCCTATAGCACTAACATGGCACCGCAGCGTGCGCTTATAACTTGATCCATGCCTTTAGCAAGCAAATCAAGGGTAGTCTGTGCCTATAGCACAATTACCGATCACTCGTTGTGCTAACCGCCAACAAATATTTTCCACCAATCACATCTCTTTCCTCATCATGGACAAATCAATCACAACAATCAATGCACAGTGATAACAACAACCAACAATCACTCAATCAACAACGATAATCAATTCACAGCAATACAACAATCAACAACAATAACCATATCACACAACTCTACAAACTGCGCCCGAAACATCACACAAGACATCATAAACACCAACCGGGGCACGAGAAAATGACAAACGGGATAAAACAGCACAACACACCGCCCGTACCAGCGGGTGGTCAACCACCCCGCCATCCACCCGCCGGCGGGCGGCAATGTACCAGCGGGTACACGGCGGGTGGTCGTCCACCTGCCGTCCACCCGCTGGTACGGGAGACGGTACCCGGCGGGTGGGCGGGTGGTCAGGTGGGGGTTCATCCCCCCACCGACCCCCCGCTGGTATAATGGTAATCCGGCATTTTCCCTTTCGGGAATTCATCAGTTAAACCCAAAACCAAGTCCAAACACATCCCAACACATACCAACAACAACATGGACACAAACGACAAGAATTAAACCAAGAAACACCACAATTATACCCTAAACACGATCCCTAAACATGCCAAGACTCGAGATTAAGCACATAACGGTCCAAGAGCATCAAGAACCTCAATATCATCAAGAAGCCTATATGCAAAGCCCTAACCTTGAATCAATACCCGAGCATGCATGAACCCACCCAAGAACACCAAAAACATCACAACAACCAGATTTACAATATAAACCCTAAGGATAAGCTCTAAACATAATTAAATACATGAACATATTAAGACCACACAGGACCATCAAGAATATCAAGAATAACAATAATCCATACCACAGATTCCTAAAGACAAGCTCTAACAAAGCACAAATACAAAATCATTCATTCAATCATTCAAAGGAGCCAATCGATAAAAGATAGCAAGGAAAATAGGTTTTGTAAGACATGGGCTACCTCTTAGCCTTAATTAATCCTCCCTTGGCTATTAGGGTTCTTTTCCAAGATTTCCTTCTGATTGATTTCCCTAGGCTTGATATACACACACACATACACACACAATCCATTTTTGTTTTTATGTGCTTAGAAGCTGCGAAGGAAGAGGAAGCTGACAGTCTTAAACTCCAAAAATTGGCTGCACAGGCAATTAGTGATTTGGTCTCTTAATATTGTTATTTTTGTGCTTGTTTCACCTCTTGGCATTTTCTCCCTTTTTAATAATAATTTGCCATTGTTTATAAAATTATTGGGTTTAAGGTAATTAACCATAAATAGTGCTTATGGAATACATTATTCTAACTATATGTTGGTTTTCATAAATGCAATTTTCTGGTTATGATACACAATATGTCTAGGTGAACTGGATGGTGTTTTCTTTAAGGGAAATAATAGAGATGCCTTTTACATGATTTAACTTGATAATCAAGAATTTAGGACTATTCTGAGAAGGCAACAAGAGCCAAGAAGTGATAATCTACATTCTAATAGATACAATATGCAAAAGGCTTAATCTCTTAAATGCTTGTTTGGGACAATGTGTCATCTATGCTGGCAAGGAACTTTACTGTGTTTGCTTGTTTGATACCCAGATCCTGTTGTAGTTTAGATGCATTTTTTTAACGTTACTAGGATTCTTGATGACTTGGAACAACGGAACACTTATGAATATCTTAGAATATAATGCATCTTTTTGTTGTTGTCTTTCTGTTTTATGGGTGTGGTTAGACATTATTCATGTAAAATTTGTAGGTAAACTTTCTAATAATTAGCACAAAGGTAGTGCATACTTTATTGACTGATGTAATTTTCTCAAAACTGGGTTGGCTATATATATTAGGTAGACAAGATACTCAGTTTTCTCCCATTAAGTTTGATGCGGATTAAAAGTTTTTCTCTAAAGTAATCTCATGAGTTCTTTGTTGCAGATTGAAAACGAATATAGACCAGTGATGATTTTCCAGTTGCAATGCAGGTAATCCTTGTTCTCCCTTTTACAGATTTTCTTGACAGTATTTGTGGAATAATTTATGTGTTTACAAATCTTGAATTTTTATTTGTTTATGACCTCAAAAGTGCTACTGCAGTATACAATAATAGGATTAGTCCAGACTTTATTTTTTTTATTGTAAGATTCATAAATTTCAATATATTTTGCAATTGAAAATCTTTTGCTGCTTCGTACCCTCCCTCGTGCTGATTTAATTCTTGTTAAATACTCTCTACACTGCCAAAGACACCAGAGTCACCTGTAGCAGGCAGAAACTAAAATTTTTTTAAATAAATAATATATGAATAGGCGCCTGTTCCTTATGAGAAACAGACGCCTATTCTAAATTTTTTTAATTTTTTAAAACTAAAGGCGTCAGTTCTTCATGGGGAATAGACGCCTAAAGTCTAGACGCCTAAAGTCTACTTTAGGCGACTGCGTACAACAGACGCCTATAGTCAAAACTTTCAGCGTCTTGTACATAGACACCTGTTGTAAAACAGACGCGAATGAGTTTTTACAACAGTCGCGTAGCCTTTTTTGTACTAGTGTAGGCCAGTGCTCTGATACCATATATGTTAAAAACAATATGAATTGTATATATTTCTTAAATATCATTACAA